ATCTGAAAATTGTATCCATATGTTTAACATGTATTAATGTATTCACATTTTGAATTTTTTCACTGAAAATCTTTTTTTTGGGGGGTACCGGGGATTGAATTTGGGCCCTTGGGCTTGCGAGGCACGGGGTGGAACTACTGACCTAAATTCCTGGCCCTTTTCACTGAAAATCTTAATGCTGTGTTTTGACTAATGGTTTTACTTGTTCTTATTTGGGGAACAGGTGATGAAGTAATAGCTCTCAATTGATTTACACTTTTGTTAATTTTGAGTGTAAATAGTAGCCAATCGCACTGATTTTAGCATGTCATTTATTAATTACTGCATAAGTAAGTAAACTTGCTTCAGTGTCACTGCATAAGTAAACTTGCTTCAGTGTCACTGATTAAAATGCATCTTGCTAAGATACTCAGAAGAGATGAAATTTTTATAGTTCTCAGGCACAAAACATAGAATATTCTGGATAGAAGTAATTCTTTCAAAACATCATTCTACTATATTCAAGCAGAGAGAAGTGGCCTACTTAGAGCCAAAAAATGAAAATGTTGGTTAGTGTATGAAATTTTGGTGTGTACCAAAATAGAGAAAAGTTACACAACTGACATAATAATCTAGACATTTGTTGATTATATAAATACAACTTCTGAGTGCTTATTCTGTTTTTATAGCTCCCTTCCCACCTGCTTATAAAACAGCCGTTTTTATGTCAATAATACAAATCTTAGCAAATATGGAGATTGTTAGGATTTAGGATATATTGAATTATGAAGGAACATATTTAGGCTTTACTTTTTGGAAATTAACTTTAGCAGTGAGGTAATCCTGATTAAATTTCAGAGTAAGTCAAATGTGTATTATTTAATCTGACAGCTGTGCAGAAGCAATCTGTTCCCAGAAGCAGTAATGGGAATATATGGATTTTGTTTTTTAAATTACAGGAATATGTTAGGCAGAGAAATGGATTATAAAAGTTCATGGCACTTTTAGCCAGAGGTCACATTTTAAAATACTGTACATTGTACATTGTAACCAACCTTAGAAAGTGTATTACTTACTTTGACAGGCTTTTGTGCTTATTGAATAGGACTTTTGCCTTAAAATAAAATTAGGCCCTCTACATCCTTGGGTTCAACCATGTATCAAAAAATATTTTTAAAAAATGGTGTCTGAACAGACTTTTTTCTCGTCATTCCCTATAAAATATAGTAGTACAACAATGATTTACATAGCATCTACAGTGCACGTAGGTATTGTAAGTCATTTAGGGATGATTTAAGGTGTACAGCAGGATGCAGTAGGGTATATGTAAATGCTGTGCCATATTGTGGGGGACTTGAACATCAGAGGATTTTGGTAGGTGAGGTGTGTGTGCCATAACAGTCCCATTCAGATACTGAGGCATCACTGTTTTGTTTTTATTTTTGTGTAATTCCCATTTCATTTTCAGGAAGTCTAGTTTTACACTGAAGGGTGAATGACTAGGTAGACTACTGCTCCTGCAGAATGTGAAAACTGTCTAGGATTGTTGTCAAATGGCAGCCAGGAATGAACTGCTTTTCTTCTGCAGGTGTTAGATCTGACCACAGGCACATACACTGTGCTTCCTCCTGCTGACAGCTTATGTTGCTGGTAGTATTTTCAGAGTACCTCATTGCTGCTCTTGACTATGATAGCTGATGGAATGGAACTTTGGAGAAGTAGAAAATCGTTTAAACTTCCTTGTTTAACTTCATTGTTTCATTCATTTGTGGGTTGTGAGAATATGGAGAAAGGAATTTGGATATTTTTATGTTGCTTTGGTTTTGTAAAGGGGAGACAGTATTAAACAAGTTTGTTTATACCAACCAGTTGCCCATACTCCTTGGGGTTATAATCTGAAACCATGAAGATGGCATACATAGATCAGTGTATCTTTTCTTGCTCTTTCTGAAAAGTCTTTTTCCATTTCTTACACTATTTTCACAGTTACAGATATTTAAAAATGAGAGATATAATTTCCAGAAAAATGCACGCTTGTATGGTGGGTGGTTGCTTATGCATTTGTTGGTCTCCTTACTTCTGGTCTGTTCAAAAGTGGACTTAAATTCATCTTGAATTAGCTATAGAATTGCTCCTTTCCCTTTTCTTCCCGTCTTTTCATTTAGATTCACCTTCAACTGTTGAGCTCAGAAAAGTTACTAGACTGAGCTTGGTGGATCAAGCAATTGAATTTGGCTCTTTCCAGTAGATAATGGTACAGCCTTGAGTCCTTTCTTCACAATAATATTATGAAATAAAATCTATTATTAGCCCATTCCTGTGCATGAGGAAACAGGAGAGTAGATTTGTTCTTGGCAAGATTTTCATTAGATTATTTTTTGCTATGTCTTAATTATCCACAATAAAGGAATAATAATAATAAATGGATTATGTAAAAGTAACACCTAAAAGGGAGGGTTTTCTTTTTCTTGTGAATCATGGTTCTATTTTAAATCCCAGAAACTAGAAACAAACTAGAAGTTCTAGTGATAATACTTAAAAGTTGTGTATATGGTATTTTATTATGCTTCTGTCAGAATAAATAATGGACGATGTATGTGCAAAGATGAATTAAAAATGGTAAGTAAAAAAAATCCTACAAATTTATTTCCACACTGGCAATTACAAATAAAGTTCTGTGTGTCACTGTACAACAGAGAAATGTTTATCTGTATTACAGCTGTGTTGAGAATCTGACAGGGCAGTTGGGAAGACAGTTAGCTACAGATGTCTTCTGCAAAGCAGTGATTACCTGTTGGGTAAGGGAAACAGTATATTTTATGAAGGCTGGAATTGAAATGTAAGAATAAGAAAAAGAAGGTGAAGTGAAAGAAACTGTCCAAGATGGAGTATCTGTCCTGCATTAAAGTTCCAGACTTTCAGGAATAAGCCTAAATTCCCTAGAAATGAAAAACTTTCCCAGAATGCTTGTTGCACAGTTGTTTGTAAAAATGAATGAGTGTTACCTGTAAGTAAAAGCTTACAGAAGCAAATTTGGATAATCCTAGGTTTCATAAAATGAAAGATTCTTTTTTGTAAGACTTGTTAGCCACTTTAATGAGCATATTCTGGGTGAGCAGTGGTGGAGGCAGCATATAGAGTGTATCATCTTAGAGACTTGGTTGCTGAGACCACAGAACAGGTTTGGTTCTTGTTACCAGGAATAGTGTTCTGTAGATTGCGCTTTAGAAAACATGGGGATGTTACTGGAGGCATCCACATAGGTGTGAAGAGTGCATATGCAGCTTTGTGTGAGCAGGTAGGCTTGAGGCGAAAGCTGATGTATCTTAGAGGCAATGTTCCAGAGTGAAGGACGATTATACAGTACATGCTTTGCTTTCAGTAGCAATCCTTGAAAAGCAGTTCTGACACTAAAAGTATTCCTTGTCTTTAATATTGGAAGTATGCTCTATGAGGCAAGTCACTCTTACTCTTGAGAATCTGCATTTGATTTGGTTCTAATCTGATAATATACCAAATATACCATGAAACTCTTTAACTGTTTTTAAGGAATATGCTGAAGCCTTATATGTGTACTTAAGAATAACCAGATGCAAGTTTCCATATTCTTCTCCCCAGCTTATTCCTTAGTACCACCACAGGGGTCAGAGTTGCCAGCCATTTGTAAAAAGATGACCAGATCCAATGGCCATTTTCTGTCCTTAGTTTATGGGACCTTGGGACACCATCCAGCCTCGTGTTGTCTCCCCTGGAAACATTCTCCTCTCTTGGCTTCCATGATGTTGCACTCTCCTGGTTTTGGTGCTCCTTGGCTGGTACTTTGCAGTTTGCTTTGTAGCTCTCTCTTCCTCTGCTGACTTATGTATATTTTACACGAAAGGGCTCAGTACACACAAGGTCTCAGTTTTGTGTCTTCTTTTCTTTGATACTCTCCTATGAACTCCTTTTAGTCTTGTGGCTGATTCTCTATACCCTTGTATGGTGATAACTCCCAAATCTATTTGTGTAGCCACCAATTCACACTCATTTTCCTTGTTGCCCGCTCCACATACACACTTTTTCTCACCTTTGTAATCTTTGCTGCATAGCAGTCAGTCATCTTTTTGGGATATAAATCTGATTATACCCGTTTTAAAGCTACACTCAGTTTTATATGAAATCTAGACTCCTTTCCTGGCCTCACTGGGACAGTCAAGAGTGTGGCCATTTCTGTTCTTCCCTGCTCACCCTATGCAGGAGTCCCCCTGGCCCATTGTCAATCCTTCACATATTCATTCTGTTGCTTTTATCTGGAGCAGCTTACAGCTCATCCTTTGCATGGATGACCTCTTTTTACTCTCTATTCTTAGCTCTCACTTCTTGGGAAGTGATGGTGGGATTTGTCTTAAATACAGTGTGCTTTAATGTAATGTCTTAGAGTATGGGTGCTATAGTTAAAAGAGTGTGTATGTCAGCCAGAGAAGTTTTCACTTTTGCTTGTGGATGTGGGATGTCCTTGGGTGCAGTGTCTGTCCCGTGCTTTGATAGGATATGAAGGATGTGGATGAACTCATGATAACTCTACTCAAAAGATACCAACTTTTAAAAAGAAAAATGTTGATTTAACAAAATTAGTGAAACATTTCACTAAGTAAACAAGCTGTTCATGCCAATCTCTTTGGAAAAACAAAAGATTTGAAATATAAGCAGAAGGTTGTTTGGGAAATGTAGAATCTGAGAAAGCAGCTGTATGATCTTTTTTGATGGTGGGAGAAGAAAAATAGCTTGTCTTTTATATTTAGGGTACTATAAATAAAATTTAGATGAGGGGATCTGTGATAAGTAGGCAGGGTATAGGGTCCAGAGGCGATTATGTCTGTCTGCATAAAGGACCTAATAATCTCTTCAAGTACAATGACAAGAATTGACAGCATTAGTTTTTCCTTTAAGGGAATGTATGAGAGATATATAGTGCCATGTTTGTTGCAAATGGATTTTAAAATGGACTGGAATGCTTTAGTAATTTTTCTTTTCACCAGCAGGTTCTACTGAAAAGAAAGTTGAACATTTATCCCTGAATCAAGAAGATAACACTGCACACCCTATCCGGAATGGTAAAGCAAGTCCAGTATCTAAAGATCAGCGGGCCAGAAAGAAGATGTTAGAGAATTCATCAGTACGGGGTCAAGTGCAAAAGGGGAATGATGACTCTGAAAGTGATTTTGAATCAGACCCCCCTTCTCCTAAGAGCAGTGAAGAGGAAGAGCAAGAGGATGAAGAAATTCAGGGAGAGCAAGATTTTAATGATGATGATACTGAACCGGAGAATCTGGGTCATAGGCCTCTCCTCATGGATTCTGAAGATGAAGAAGAAGAGGAGAAACATAGCTCTGATTCTGAGTATGAGCAGGCTAAAACAAAGTACGGTGACATGAACCCTGTCTGCAAAGAAAAACTTGGCAGTGAACCAACCCAGGACCCTATTACAGCTCTCCTCACTCCAACTCATTTATCTGCTAATGCTGGGGTAGACACTCCCAAACTGGAGTTTGATGTGTTTGGCGCTGTCCCCTTCTTTGCAGTTCACACTCAACAGTCCCAGCAAGGAGAGAATGAAAAGAACCTCTGTCAACAGATGTTTCCTACCAGGGGACTAGAGCAAGAGGAGTTTGATGTATTCACAAAGGCGCCATTTAGCAAGAAGGTGAATGTACAGGATTGCCCTGTAGTGGGGCCGGAGGCGCATATTCTCTCTGGTTGTCCCAAAAGTGTAGATATATTTGGCTCCACTCCCTTTCAGCCCTTTCCCACATCCACGAGTAAAAGTGAAAGCAAAGAGGACCTTTTTGGGCTTGTGCCCTTTGAGGAAATAACTGGGAGCCAGCAGCAGAAAGTCAAACAGCGCAGCTTACAGAAACTGTCCTCTCGCCAAAGGCGCACAAAGCAGGATATATCCAAAAGTAATGGGAAGCGGCATCACGGCACACCAACTAGCACAAAGAAGACTTTGAAGCCTGCCTACCGCACTCCAGAGAGGGCTCGCAGGCACAAAAAAGTGGGCCGCCGAGACTCTCAAAGCAGCAATGAATTTTTAACCATCTCGGACTCTAAAGAGAACATTAGCATTGCATTGACTGATGGGAAAGACAGAGGGAATGTCCTACAACCTGAGGAAAGTCTGTTGGACCCCTTTGGTGCCAAGCCCTTCCATCCTCCAGACCTGCCATGGCACCAGTCACATCAAGGCCTGAGTGACATCTGTGCTGATCACAATGCTGTCCTGCCTGGGCGGCCGAGACAGAACTCACTACATGGGTCTTTCCATAGTGCAGATGCATTGAAAATGGATGACTTTGGTGCCGTGCCCTTTACAGAACTTGTGGTGCAAAGCATCACACCACATCAGTCCCAACAGTCTCAACCAGTTGAATTAGACCCATTTGGTGCTGCTCCATTTCCTTCTAAACAGTAGATACTTCTGATGGATTCTTGGTATTAACTCCTGTTTCAAGAGTATGAATAGTTTTATGAATTTTAAAAGAAAATTTATTTGTATATCTCTTTATATCATTCATTCTTACAAGTCAAACCAGATAGGTGATTTTTAAATAAACCAAATAGAAAAAGGAAGTCTCCCTACAGAGTAGTAACCGGATGCTTCTTCCAAGCAGGAGGAAAAGGAGCTGAATTCTGAATTGAAAGCTCTAACAGTGGGTTTCTGCTGTTGACACTGGGACACAGAAATGCAAGGGGGCACTTGCAGTGAAAGGTCAAGGGGGCCGAAGGGACAGGAAAGTTGTATCATTTTTCTTGGTATTCGAATATCACTTAACGTGCATATCCAGGCTCATTGCAGATCCAGCATTTAAAACTAGGCTGATTTGTACACATACGTTGCATTTGTGAACTTTAAGGTCTCAGATTACTTTTCACTGTTTCTAATTTTCACACAGTGAAAAGTAATCTAACTTGTAAAGAACTAGGAAGATACTATCTGGACAGTATAGATGTCAGTTCATATCCCTTTCTCTATAAAGCAGAGCCAGAAGTAACTATTGTGCCTAAAACGCTGTTGCATTTTAAAAACAAGTGCCATTAATATGGAATATCTAATGACAATTATGTGAAATAATGCATATGTTAGCTTAATTTTGTCCTTCTGCAATGTATACATATTTTAAAATATGTTGTACATGATATATACAGTTGTCAATAAGAAATAAACTTTTAAAATATGGAATATCTAATAGAAGCCTAGAACAAAAATATGAAAAATATCTGGCATTTGAAAAATGTAAAAGAAAAACAGGAATGAAAAAACATTCAATACTTTAGAAACACTGTATATGTTTTTAAGTGGTTTCTTGCCAAAACCTTTTATTGTCATGTCCCTAATGAAGTAGATTATTGGGAAAACAAAAAATCTAAGAGTAAAAAAAAGGATATATAGAAATTTTCAGGAGAAAATTCAGGTGAAAAGCTGAATTTTAAAATGTTTACAAAGTAAAATCGTGTTTTTAATAATGTACTTTATTAAATTACCACCGTCATGAGCAACAAGTAGCTTCCTTAGGTTTGGAGGGTGGAGTAGTTTTAATAAAGTGCACAGAGCAGACACCCATGAAGCCTTACGGGCAGGACTGCCTCCCGCTGTAATACCTCTGCACTGGCACCAGTCCTGAAAATGGAATAGGGAAGGAGAGGGCAAGGGCTTGTGTCTTATCTTCAGTGAAAAGAACCCAGCTACTACATGGCTTTTTTTTTTTTTTTTTTTTTTTTTTTTTTTTTTTT